GTTCAGGGTTTAGGGTTTGGTGTTAGGGTTCAAGGTTTAGGGTTTAGCCTATATATATATATATTCCCCCTGTACGTCCCTGTACTCCCCCCTTAGCTGGATTGCTGTTTTAGAGTTTACATTGGGTTACTACAAGGAAACCTGCTATTAACTATACCCATATTACGGAAGATTAATTCAAGTTCCCCAATAGCAGCCCAGTTATATTTCCCGGATCATCCCCATACTTTGACTATTTACTCTCTGCAAGAAGCCCTTTGCCCACATAATCCCTCTACTTCCCGTATATATAAGCTCTGTACTCCCCTTATATGTCAAAAACGTACCAAACAACAGGGAACCATGCAATTATCCTCACTACAGCATATGAATGCTGACAATCCCCTGGCCCCACCCAGTAACAGTCCTCAGTAGAGGTAACGGTAAAGAGCCTACACAACTATGCTCAAAAGGCTACCCTTTTCCTTGCTGGTTCACTTTATAAAGGAACCCAGAAGCCCCAAAAATGGTAAAACGGCACCACTGAAGTTCGTAGGTTTCTGAGCGAAGGCAGTTTCCAACCCATCCCCATATATCCCCCTATATAGTACCCTCAACCACTAAGGGATCCTTAAAGTAGTCCCTGTAAAACCCATTATACTAATTTCCCATTTCTTGTCCATTATCCCTATACATCCCCAATATGTACCCCATATAATCCCCTGTATAACCCCTATACACCCCTTTAAAGGGTATCCCTAAGTATGGTAAACCCCCATATCCCCCCCGTGTTAACCACAGCCGCTCCTGGGATGCAGCAGACCTTGCTCCGACTTTTCATGGTGGAAGTTAAGGGTTTATAGGGGTTAAATAGAGGCTATATAGGGTTTGCATAAAGGTTTAGGGTTCATATAGGGGTTATATAGGGCTTATATAGGGGTGGGGTTATACAGGGTGTATGGGGTTATTTCGGGTTTGCGTAGGAAGTTATTCAAAAATAGGGGGGGTTAGGGACCCGAGGAATTAATGGCGAATGTAAAGAGGCGAAAGGTTCCGTATAACCGATTTTCAGGCAGAACCTATAGGTCTTCTGGGGTTTAGTGATGTTCAAGGCTTGGGACTTCGGTATTAAGGCTGTAGAGTTGCGCCTAAACCCTAAACCCTAAACCCTAAACTGTGGGCTTGGAGGTTCTGCCGCCGCAGGCCCACGAAGCCCAGCACTTGTCAGATGACTCGGGCGGCTGGGCAGCCATAGCCATGTGAGCTATAATCTAAAGGGTTTAGGGTTTAGGGTTTAGGGTTTAGGGTTATAATAATCCCCTAGAATAATCCCCTATACTAATCACCTATATAATCCCTATACAGGGCTTTACAGGGTTTTTTTGGGGTTACATAGGGATAATGGAAATAAAATGGAAACTACAAGGGAATATCATCAGGATTATATAGGGATGTTATAGGGATAGGGCTTAGGTAATATTAGGGGTTATATTGGGGCTATATGGGGATAATGGGAAAGAAAATGGAAACTACTATAATGGGCTATATGAGCTATTATAGCCTAAACTCCTAGTATCCCCCTTAATAAGCCCTATAATAGAGAATCAAATGGAAAAGAAAATGCAAAATGAAATGGATACTGTGGTTATATACGGGATTATAGGGGTTATTATAATCTAAACTCCTAGTATCCCCCTTAACATCCGCTATACTAATCCCCTATAAAAATCCCCTATATAACCCCCTTTGAGGAGTTTAGACTATAGCTCATGTAAAAAATCATCGGGCTGGCTCTGCTCTTTGGGAAACCTGAAACAAACCCACGCCAAGCCTTCGCCCCTCTCTCCAACAGCGAAAGTTCGTGACTTCCTACCCTCTCCCCCTCCCCCCTGTCCTCGCCGCCCCCCTCCCTACTTGTTTGCATCATTTCCATTGTCGAGCATGTCCCAAACAGGGCGAAGGCATCACCATCTCACGCAGAACAATGAAATACAAGCACGCCTTTGCTTGTGCGGATGGAAATCGGAACTTTTCCTCGGTCCTTTCTGCCGAAACAAACTCAATAGGGATCTTGCCTGGACACTTCTCTGTGGTCTGCAGCCCAACATCCACGGCGGGCGCACCGTTCACAAATAGCCGGCCAAAGTCCTCAAAAGCTTACGCCATCAAACGTCAGATTTTGAAAGTGGCCGACGCTCACATGAGATCCAGGTGAGACGACAATGGAACCAAAGCGTGCCAAGAGCTATCAGGCACCACATTTGCTCTTTTTCATGCTGATGTGTGTGTGTGCAGTAAACGGATACTGGGGCATGCCTAGAAAAACATCGACCTGTCTTGCAAGAGTTCATCTAATCCAAGCTCGAGATGAAGCCGCACACAGAAGACGGTTAAGAAGTAAGGAAGCATGTATTTCACATTTACCTGCCAAATTTCTCGCAGTGAATGCCATTACGCATGTGCGAGGCAAGGACCGGGCACCATCAACATATTTCTGGGGGCCTCCAAAAACTAGCGATTCCTCTCAAGGGAGAGAACCCTGGAATCAGGGAGACACTCTCTCAACACTTTCTAGCAAGCGAAACCCCCAACGTACCTGCGATTAACGTCGCTGACGACCTGCCGGTCGTGTTCTCTGAGAATGCACATGCAAACCTCATCATACTGCAATGGGGCTTTCCTTTCTCACTCAATTTTTGCTTTTGTGAACACTTGCGTCTTTCAACGTGGCATTTGAAAGATGTAAATCTTGTTTCGGTCTTCTGAAAAAAAGAAAATACACACATCTTGTCAAGCATGTCATGTTACGCAACACTGCAAACCAAAACCTCTGAACTCTGAAGCCCACCTTTTGCAGACCGACTTTGCGGGAATCAGTGGGACCCTAGCCGTTCAGGGCACTGTTTGTTTTGTTCAAGGTTTGCCGAGAACCCCTGAGAGCCAGAAAAAAAAGAAAAAAAACTTCCCCCGCATGAAGCCCCTAGGTATAACTTGTGTATCGTGTTTTGCGAACATGCGGCTGGACCATGCGGCGTGACCGTGTGGCTGACTTCGGTGTGGACTCGTCTTTGCTCTCGACCGTGTCACTTCCTGGGCCGAGCTCCTACTTACTACTGGACCTCTTGTGTACGGGGGAGGGCCCATGCAGCCAAGCTTGCTGAAAACTACCCGGATCCTGCAATCGCACAGGCATATATCGATTTGGGGATTACAATCGCAATCCTTCTGGCAAAACGTGTCAGTTTTGCGGATATTACATGAATTCGCAAAGAAAGGCTGAGCTCTGGAACAGATTCCGTGCCAGGTATCAGACCTACACGTAAACATTGAAAACCTGACACATTGGTGAGAACGGGAAAGTGGTGGAATCCTTGGTGCATGGCACATCGCAATAGGGAAAGGTACGCATGGTGGGACCTTTGATTGTGCGTTTTAAGGAATGAAACAAGATGTCAAAAAGGTAAACACCGAGAATTGTTTCCAAGGCTCGTTCATTTTGGATACTTATTGAGGATCAATCTCGGCATCTCGGGTGAAACGGTCGGCTGCCCTTCCCTAAGCCCTACCAGCCAAGCCCCGATATCGTACTTGTAGGGGTCCCTGTACCGCCGGCTCCCACTGAAAACAGTGAAGACTTCACCTATACAAGCCAAGCCATGCAACAACCGGAAACCAACTACAACCACCATGCACCACCACTAACAACAGCACCCGCCACAATCACCGACCACCATCAACACCGTCATCATCACCATCACCCACCACCATCACACACCACCATCACCATCACCATTACCATAACCATCACGATCAACATCAACATCACCCTCACAACCACCATCAGCACCATCACGATCACCCACCGCCATCCCCCAACACAATCACCCACCACCATCACCATCACCATCACCATCACCATCATCACCATCACCATCACCATTACCATCCACCACTATGACTATCACCCACCACCATCACCACCAGCCTCAGCCTCAGCCTCAGCATCAGCACCACCATCACGGACCACCATCACTCACAGAACACCATCACCATCCACCATCACCTCCACCATCCACCATCACCATCACCATCCACCATCCACCATCCACC